ACCTATTTTAAAATTTTGGCTTAAAATAAGTCAGATGTACCATTCCTACTCCCATTGCACAGTCTTTGCATCTTCTGTTTGCTCAGCCTGGCCTATCTGTTCTCCAGATATCTATCTGGGTGTCTGGGACTCTCACTTTATACAATATCTGGCTAAAATACCACTCTTTCAGAAAGGACTACCCTGACATACTTACATAAATTAGTTCTGTTCCTAGCCCTTACCCTCCATTACCCTACTTCAAGCTCCTTTACAGGTTTATCATCACCTGGTACATTATATGTTTGTTTCTTTGTGTTTGATCTCCCTTCACTAGAATTATAAGAGCCAGCAGAATAGAGATGGCTCCTAGTTTGTTCACTGATAGGCGTAGGTTGTGCCTAGAACAGTTTCTTGAACATAGTAGTCATACGATAGATGTTTATTTAGTGATTATTGGATGAAATAAAGAGAGGGAGTTGTGTGAGAAATGTTATATCTTTATATGTATTTTTATACATTTTTCAAAAAGATGTTTTAGTAATTTTCCACAAGTGAAATAGGAGAATCGTTTTCCTGAGAATAATGGGAGAACAAGAGTTATCCCTTTTCATATCAAACCTTTTGCTTTTTTAAGTGCATGCAAAGAATAATTTTTTGCTAGTCATAGTTCTCTTGCAGCTTTCATCTCTTCGATAATAGCAAGGGTAAATTTATTCTTCTAAGATGCCCCTAAAGAGGCATTTTTAAATAATATATACAAAAAAATAGGAGAAAATAGCAGAGGGAAAACTATATAAACAAGGAAGGTAAATATTTTACCTACAGAAATGTACTTTCAATTATCCTTGTTTCTCATGCTGTTATTAAAAATATCTCTGCTTGGATGGAACCGTTTGTTTCCACGCTGCCTTCTCCTTTGCTTCTCTTGTGAACTTTTTAAATTTTGCGTCTGGCAGCAGTTTTGTTTTCCTTGGCACTCAGTCCTGTGTAACATACTCTTAGCTGAAGGCTGTGATGTAGAAATTTATTATTAAAAATAAAAGTGAGGGAGAGAAGAATTTATTCCATAAGGATAAAAATGACAGTGTCAAGGAAGTTAGGATTTTCAAAATGCTTTATATAACAGATTATATTTCTTTTCAAGGAAGTATACTTGTTTCCTATGAATAATTACAAGGGTCTTCCTTTTGCCTATCCTGATATTAATGGGGGATGAGGAAGGGAGGAAAGATAGTGGGGGTTTTTTTGTTGTTTTTTTTCCAGAGAATTTCTTCCTCAGATGGAAAGATTTTTGTTTGCCATATATAGGCATAACCTTGGTGACCTGTATATCCCCAAACCTTCTGGTAAGATGCTTATTAAAATGTTGTTACCCAGAGGAGTAATCATAGTTAGATAGCTATGAGAGTATCTTTTATAGATGGTGAGAGACAAACTTTTTTTCCTTACTGAATTAAGCAGCCATATACTTTTTTATCAACCAAAATATATTTCAGTTTTTTCTTTTTTAATAATTTTTCTAGTCTCAGTGTCAGTACCCTCCCCTGTTTTTACATTTCTAGCACCTTTCCTTAACGAATCTTAAAATCATTAGTATTCCTCCTCCAAAAACAGTATCGTGTCATGTTAATAAACTTTGTCTCTTTTCCCAGAATTGCCTAGATATCATACTGCTACTCATTGATCTTGAAAGCTTAGCCCAGATGAACTCAATTGCAAAAAGAAAATAATAATTCCACAATTTCAACTTCAGTTCCTCATTGTCCATGACCCATTTATGTCTTTTATCTAATCCCATGATAATGTCAGATGACTACTTTGGTCATCTGCAATTTAATACTAATCCTACCTGCTTGATTCACAGGATATTTTGACTTTCTCATTGAGATAACATCAACATCAGTTTGCGCTTAATTCTGAAATTCATTGACTTCATTGTGCAAGCTCTCCTCTTTACTGTTTTTTATAACTGACCAATTATTTTCATTTGTCTTAATCATTAGTCAAGGGAGTGGGGATAGAGAAGCGTCTTTGTATTCCTAAAACACTAGCCCTGTGGTTCTGCTTTAACAGAAATATGTACCAGTTCCCCAATGCTTCATTTTAATTTAATCTATAATATTAAGTAAGTCAGGCAGTTTAACCACACTGTGGGGGTTTTCTTTTTGGTACAGCTTTTTTACAGTTTTTTATTGTGGCAAAATATACATAACATAGAATTTACCACCTTAAATACTTTCTTCATTTAATCAAAAGTATATATATTTTTACATTTAATATTATTTTGTATTAGTTTATGAATATTTTTTAAGGAATACTGAAAACATTCTGCCTATTTTAGTCTTTGGTCCATGCTCTGAGAACAGTGTTCTTATGACAGCAAAATAAATTCCATATGTAAATAGGATAAATATTCATATGCTATCATGTGCTAATATGAAGCGAATCATCACTTCCCCACTCTCCACCCAGCATCCCATCTGTGCCAGGTATGGAGAGGTACAAGGGCCCTGACATCCTATCCAGCCCACAGCACCACCTCTTTCTTTGCATTTAAAAAACAAATTACAGAAAATAATATAACAAACCACATACACCAACTGAAATAATTAATACTGATTTTCAGCTTCGAAAATTTTAATTCAAAATAGAGTTTAAATGTTAAAGCCCTTTTGTGATTTCCTCAAGTGCAAAGGGAAAAATACCCTATTGATTTCTGTTGAATAAGAACGTTCCAGTATCTCATTTATCATTTGAGTTCATTCCTTTTTAGATTATATTTTACTTAGCATACAGATTTTTATAACTTTGCATTACTTTGAAGAAAGTAGTAACAGTATACATTTAAAAATATTACCACATGCTTGGTCAACTCAGATCATTAAAATATCTATAATAATAAAAGCATAACATGCTAATTAGACCAGATTTCCTTCTGGACTACCTTCCTGATAAAGCCGGGGCTGCGAGGGAAGTCCAGGTCCCGGGTGCCAGAGGGAAGCTGGTGCTAGGCAGCCGAGGGAAGGAAGGCCTACACTTGCACAAATTTATAATATCCTATGTAATAAAGAGGTAATATGCAAATTGACCATCACCCCAAAACAAGATGGCCGCCCCCATGTGGACACAAGATGGCTGGCAGGGCAGGGCAGTTGTGGGTGATCAGGCCAGCAGGGGAGGGCAGTTGGGAGGGACCAGGCCAGCAGGGGAGTGAAGTTGGGGGGGACTAGGCCAGCAGGGGAGGGCAGTTAGGGGCAATCGAGCCAGCAGGGGAGGGAAGTTAGGGGTGACCAGGATGGCAAAGGAGGGCAGTTGGGGGCAACCCGGCCAGCAGGGGAGGGCAGTTAGGGGCAATCGGGCTGGCAGGGGAGCAGTTAGGCGTTGATCAGGCTGCAGGGGAATGGTTAGGGGTGATCAGGCTGGCAGGCAGAAGCAGTTAGGGGCAATCAGGCAGGCAGGCGTGCAGTTGGGAGCCAGCAGTCCTGGATTGTGAGAGAGATGTCCAACTGCCCATTTAGGCCCGATCCTAGTGGAATCAGGCCTAAATGGGTAGTCAGACATCCCTTGAGGGGTCCCAGATTGGAGAGGATGCAGGCTGGGCTGGTTTGTTAATTAACAAATTTATCTTGTAGTAAGTGATGGTGCTAATGAGTCTGTATTTATATGGAATTTTTTCACTTCCAGTAAAATTACGTTTTTAGCATGAGTCTACTGACTATTTATATTCATCCTGTAAATTGTCCCTATCTGTAAATTCCCCCAGTTATCTACTAGTATTATATTTATTTGAATTTTTTAGAACTCTTAATATACTGGAATACATTATTCATTTACTTCAGATCTTTCATCAATGTGGTATTTGTGATAATATTTGAAGATTTTATATAGTGGATCTATTGAACCTTTGTGTGTGTTTTTTAATAAATTAGAAAATCTTTCTACATTCCAAGATAGTATATGCCTGGATTTTATTCTATTTTATACTGATGGTTTCATCTTTTTAAAATTTAAATACTTTTGTATATATGTTTATATTTTATAAGGTTCAGTCCAAAGAATCTATTATTATGCTTTCATTTGTTGAATAACTCATCAAATACCCATTTATTTTTTAATTTTCTTTTTCATATATTTTTGCTACATACACTTGAGTTCATTTCGAAAATAAGGAGCTGAACACATCTCATTCATTTATATTTTGAGTCTTAAATCATTATCCCATAATCCATTTAAATATTATAATATATTTTAATGACCACTATGTCACTTTTATCTTTTCTAATATTTTTCTGACTCCTTTAAGTTTACTCTCTCAGATAAAATTAGGCTATTGGGTGTTTGTTTTTAATTTTCTTGAAAAGTACAATTAGCTTTTGATTGAAATAGAGTTAAACCTGTAAATTTCTGTGGATACAACTGAACACTTGAAATTTTTATAGAATTCAGACTTCTTTGCCATTTTTTGTATATGGTTATCAAACATTTTTTAATAATGTTCTAAGGTATATTATTTTTTGTTGCTATGTGAATAGTGTCTTTGTCATTACATCTACTGAAGTCATGCTGTTATATGGAGATGATAATGTATGTAAACATGATGTATAGTCTACCTTATTAGTGAGCTAGATTATTAGTGGCAGGAGTATTCATGAGTAGTGAGTGTACTGGACTCTTGCACGAATTTCATGCACCAGGCTTCTAGTATGTAAATAAAGCTTAACATGGTTTAATGTCTGTTCAGGGTGTTTCTTACAATGAACTGTAAAGCTGTCCATTAGCAAACTCTTTTTGTCACACAGTGATATTAAAATATCTTCATAACTACTAGCAGTTGAAATATTACCTATTAAACCAGAAGTTTATTACTTCATGTATGTTCATTTATTCGTGATGACTATTTAATACATTACTATTAAAACATACATTTCAAAAGCCTATTCTTTAAAGAAAGAGTAAAAATATTTGCCATGTAAAATAAGTATCATTTAATTTACTGTAATTATTATATTATCTTACAGCTCATGGGGCATTCAGAATGGGACCACAAACGAGGGCCAAGAGGATCACAGGTAGGTTATTTTCTTTTTCTGTTTCTTTTTTGCATTTTATTTCTTAACACTTTGAGCCATGAGATTTCTAAAACTCAAAAAAATAATAAGAAATAGAGGAAGAGGCAAAATAATCATGCCATTTGTTTTTACTTAAGTTAGCTATAATTAAAGTCTGGTTTCAAATCCCAAAAGCAGAGGCAAGTGTATTCCTTCTCAGAGCTTTCTGGTATCCCAGATTGGCTGTGTTTTTATGAATGTAGATTTTATACGCATCTTGTCTCTGCCAAACACATTTTGATCAGCAACTCACTCTCTTGATTTTATTCACTTCCTTTGATAATTTTCTATGTATTTCTTCTTTTCTCTATCTTCCTGTGTTTGGTTAAATATTTTGAAATATAATCAGACTAAACCCTGAACTAATTACAGATTTTGTCTGTAAATTAACTGTCTTCATCTTAGGGAAATAGAAAGATGAAAGGACCTATTATTTTGAAAAGAAACAAATTCTAAACCTTTCTATATTACCAGACTGTTTTCATTGTCTTACTTGATGTCTTAGGCAAGGAGAAAAGCTTCCATGACGCATTTATGCTTTTTAATGACCTAATTAGACAATGTGGATTTGTTTTGCTTCCATAATTACTTTGCCTGACAGAATAAAGGCTGAGTTTTTAGCTTCAGAAAATTATCTCTCCTCCCAAGATATTTTGTGAAGAAATATAAAAATTATTTATTTCATAGCAGCCTGAGTTTATCTGATGATAAACATGCCAAATGAAAATGAAGTAGATGGGACGTGTTTACCTCTGCTGCTCACATTTTGCACTTGCCACTAAGAAATATGCTTAAAAGAGAGTTGGATGGGAGATACTGTCTATGAAAGTTCATTATGGAATGTGAGATTCTCCCAGGTGTTTGACAGCACTGACGTGGACCTATGCAGTGATTAAGTTTGCATGGTTAACTATTTAATTTAGGTCCCTGGGAAAATAAAACCAAGTCAGTCAATTGTTTCCAGTTGTTATTCTAATAGCTGTGGTTTTATTTTTGTTCATTATCAATTTGACTAGTAAATCCAGTTAAATTTGGATTACCCAGAAGAATTTATGCCTTGCTTTTTCCTACCTTTCACTTCTTCTCCATTTTCTCTAGCAGCAACTCTCCCTCTGTCCATATCATAATACTAGAGGCCTGATGCATGAATTCATCCACCAGTGGGGTCCCTCGGACTGGCCAGCAGGATTGGGCCAAAACCAGCTCTCTGGCATCCCCCGAGGGGTCTCGGACTGCAAGAGGGTGCAGGCCAGGCCCAGGGACACCACTGGTGCATGATCAGGGCCAGGGAGGGATGCGGGAGGTTGGCCAGCCAGGGAGGGGCCACGGGAGTGTTCCAGGGCGTGTCCGGACTGTCTCGCTCAGTCCTGATTGTCTGGACCCCAGCAACAAGCTAACCTACCAGTCGGAGTGTCTGCCCCCTGGTGGTCAGTGCACATCATAGCTAGCAGTTGAGCAGCCTTAGCATATCATTGGCATATTACACTTTGGTTGAACAGATGACCAGATGACTGGACACTTAGCATATTAGGTTTATATTATATAGGATTTTAAATCAGAATATACTGCAAAGTCATTAATGAAATGATGAAATTAATGTATGTTAAAAACTTTGTGATTCTAAAGCAATAAAAAGTAAAGATGAGCACAAGTAAGAAATGCCACCATGGTTTCTGGTTAATGCCATCAAAGACATTTTGATATTCAAACATGCCAAGTTACTTGCTTATGACATGTCCCTTCAAAGTAATGTAATGTTAAACTTGTTTAATATTTACTCTTATCATGACCTATTTGAATATGTTATCTTCAGGTTTGGATTGTCAATATTAATTGAAAAAATTGTTATAAAAGTACAGTGTTGTGTTAACATTAAGCATAAAAACCCCAGAATGAAAGTTTTTAAAAATTCAATGTATTTCACTTAGCTATAAAACTTCAGAATTCTACATACACTCACAAAATATGTTCATAAATAACGTTGATTATATTTAAAAGGTTGAAATGGTTCAAAACAGCAAAAGCACTTAGAACATTCTTGCATGAATTACCATTATCAGCATCAAGGTCTTTCTTAGACCTCTCAACTAGCTAAATAACTATTCCTAATGTAGTTCACCTTTGCCTCACTTTACTTCAACTCAGAAAAAAAATTATCAAGGTAAAAAGCAAAACATGCACCAAAAAATAAAAACAATACAGCTACAACAAAAAACTTCGGGGGGAGGGGATTTCAGATAAATAAATTAAGCATTGAGTAATAACTTCTTATCTAATTGTAATTTTCATTGGGGGAAAATACATTGTATGTATGTTTTAGATGATTGATTTTTTTAATCTTGCTATATTTCCTTGGACTATAAGTCTATCAAAAGCCTTTCAGCAATTCCAAAGGAATTCCAGACAGACTGGATTTGAACACAGATCTCTTAATATTTTATTAATTCCCCAAGGCCTTGCTCAAATTCCATCTCAGTTTAGTTTCAATGAAGACAGATTTTAAGCACTGACTACGTGTAGAGCACTATTGTAGATATAACTTTGAAAAAAAAATTGAATGACAAGGTTACTGCTTTCTAGAAGCTCAAAAGTTATGGTTGGAAACAGAGCAATACTTAAACACAGTTGTTTGTGTGGGAGATAATACAACAATTAATAAATAATATGGCAAGAATAAACTTTTTTGCAGACTCACAACTGTAAACCTCCTTTTGCGCCACTCTGTATATAATTTGCATGTAATTCAGACTAGCAGATGTGATATTAAATATATAAGCAAACTGTGATAGGGGCATGATGTCTGATCATCAAGAAATACCTAGTAGAAAGCAGACAGCTGTTACAGATGTGAGAGGTTGGACTTCAAGACAAATTTTAATCTATTTTACTTGATTCAAAAAACACCAATATGTGCCAGGCATTTTTTGAGCCTTGGAGGAGTCAAAAATGAACTAAACAACGTTGGCCTTCAAAAGCATATAACTTTATCTAAAGTCAGCCTGACTTCAGAGGATAAAGGAAAAAATAAGCTAGTATTGAGGGCATTAATCATTACCAGGAGAGAATAAGCTTCCCCTGGCTTTCCCCCCGACATGCTTACTAAATAAGAGATTGTGTCAGATTTGACCTAATCCTCCTAAATTATATCATATGTGCATTATCACAGAGGATACAAAGGTGTACCTTTCATATCAAATCTTTCTGATTTTAAAAAATACATATATTGCTTCAAATAAAGTCTAACATTTAATTGCTTATGACTCTTTAGACTCAGCAAGAATTTAAATTCAAATGCATTTATTTACTCTATTCTCAATAATTTTCATGACATAATTTGTCAGCTCACTCACATCTCTCAGACTGATTCTTCTTTTTTAAAAAAAAAAAAAAAAAGAATGTTCTTTCAAGTAGTAGATCATCCAAATTAGGGAAGATGCTAAAGGATAAATAAACTTCCAGCAGCATGCAGAACTCCTTCATCTGGCAGCATTCCCAGTAATACCAAATGAAGTCAGGGGAAGAAATTCTCAGAAGGCAATTAGTTGGATTTTTTTTTCTTTTAAATTCTTGAGGAAAAGTTTTCCAGTGGGAAGTTGAGAGAGGCAGTAGAAAATTTATCTCCTTTGAAAAGCTAAAAGTGCTGGGTCGGGCAGTGGGGGAGGTTCCACAAAGCCACTAATTTACTTATAACTTAGTTGAGGGTCTTTGTAGGGAAAAATTACTTCAAAGTGTGAATTTGTAAATTTCCTAACATTTTAATGTACTAGGAACAAGCTGGCCCTTATGTGTCCATAGTTAGAGACTAGTAGGTTCTTTAGTCATTTAGTGTATTATTGATGACTTACTGACTTCCAGCCAGGCCTTATCAAATAGACTTAAGACTTCTTATAGAAGAAACAGCTTTTTCGTTGAAGTATTGCATGCACAATAGAAGAAGATAGCTGAACATTCTGGTGGGGAAAATGTTATTAGATACATTAGGCTGTCAGTATGCTTAAAAAACATGGCTTTCATTGTCTACCATGTATTGGAGTCTCCAAATAAAACTAGAAATAGAAGCACCTACCTAGGTAAGTTAGCTTTTGCAGCACTATTTTTAATCTCAAGGATGAATTTCAGTGGGAAGTTATACTTCAGTATCCTTTCTCCTTGGGTATTCAAGAGAAAGAGTCTGTCGATAACTAGTTCCTAAAGTTGATGAACCTAAGGATTTGCCTCTTAGTGGTCTAATTTGGTGACAGACCAGTTCTTTTCTGGGTTAAATAATTTGTTTCTGAGAAGACAATGTGAAGAGGAATTTAAATGCCTTCAGACTTACCTAGAATAACGCCATATACATTTATTAAAGTTAACTCCACTTAATACATTTAGAAATACAACCATCCAGATTTCCCAGAAATGTATTCCAATGATTAATGTGAGTAGAATGGGAGTCCATCATTACATTTCCCAAATGCCCTATATTTTGCCAAAGAATAATTCATGCCCTAGATGCAGCTTTTTCCACAAACATAGTGCTTTTCACTTGCACTTCCTTCTCCTTTTTCACTTTTTCATATATAAACCTAACAATTGTTACTGCTAGTTTAGAAATTGTTGCAATAATAATTTTATTTTTTGGTGACTCTCCAAGGAAAGTTTGTTTTTCTTTCTTTCCTTTTTTTTTTTTTTTTTGGTTGTTGTGTTGTGAAATGTGGTTGAGTTTTGTTTGTATGGGCAGGGATCACACACCAAATATATATGGGTTCTACACATCTCAGGAGAGGCCTTGTAATCTCATACAATAGTGCAGGAAAGGAAGGACCTGGTAGTTTAATACTTATTGAAAGACCCTCTTGTCTTAGGGACTATGGACATCATTCACATGATATGTGCTCTGCCTTGTGTTTGTTTTTGTTAAAACCCACCCTTCTGCTACGTGATATGAAGTAAATTAAAAAAAATTGCATACCCATTTTGTT